ATGTATATGATGTATAGGTAAGTATATGGGCTGCAGCGTATAAACTTAAATTGAAGTGTAGGATATCCGTTTTATACGCACTGAAAAAGTGTTGGTATGAAATAAAAATAAATAAAGTAAAGTCTTATCAAACAAACGAAAGTGTTTGATGTGCCACTTTTTATAGTCTAATTTTTTTTTTACGTTATTCCTATGAAACTATAGTAAGTACCTACCTTATTAGTTATTATTTATGTGCATATATCAGCACTGAACCGAATTTTTGTCGGTTAAAAATTACGATCTACCTACGCACATGATTTTGTAATATACACGATGTACCTACCTAAAATATGCCTTTGAGTATTTTTACAGAAAGGCTTCAGAAACCTCATACATCATAAATATAGTAAAAATATTATACTTATTAGTTATTAGGTTACTTTGTCAAAGCCGTCGTTTGAAAGCATGCACATTGGTACATATATTATTATATAGGTATACCGAAATAGTGATATTATGTGTGAAATATGAGAGCTCTAGATATATAATACGCATACATGAAATTTATGCCTTGGGAATTTTTGAGGGGATGATTTATTCATTTTTTACTACATATTATAATAGGTAGGTAGGTATACCTACATAATGTAAATACACATTTAGTTTAATAATATTAAATTGTATATGAATTTTGTATTACATGAGGGGTATAGACTTCTAGAGTGTATACTATGTGTATACATATAAATATAAAATAATATACTGCATATACCTATACGGCTATACATCCGCATTGCTGTAAAATATAATAGGTACCTACTATGCATTTATGCTGCATAGGACACAATATACATTATTAGCTAGGTAATAGAAAATCTGCAGTCAAATAAAATTAATAAATAGGTACCCACCTGGTCACCTTTGACCGTACGGGTTAGTATAGGTATGTTATATACATACAACATTTATATGCATGTTGCATTGTTGCCATACCTAAATTATACAAAAGTTATAAATTATAATATGTAAAACATAATTTACAGAAGGGCGATGGAACTGTAGTATTTATTTTTGTTGTTAAACTGACAATAATTACAATTTTTTAAATAGGTACCTACCTATATCATTATTTTAACACACTAAGGCACAACAAATAAATTTCAATTTTTTTTCCAAGATATCATAATTAAAAATTAAAATATCTAATACTCTTTAAAATGCACGTTTATAAGAATACATAATTCAACTATAAATACCTACAGTTGGAATAATTTATTTAGTATAATTATTTCAGCTCTTCGTCATCATTGTTTTTATTTTAGATACGTATGAACTATAAACGTTACGTTAGCGTGTAGGTATAGTATGATTTATTTAATTGCATCATTATTCTTTGTGAAAATAATATAACATTTTCCCTAAACATTTTAATCATAATTTAAATAATGTACATTTCGAAGGTATATATTATTATTATACTGTTTAACAGGTTTGATCGAATAAAATCTATTGTAATAAATCATACACCCTATTTTCGAGAATAATTATGAACGTTCCTCATCGTGCAGTTGTGTAGGTATATAAAATTCATAAATAAATACAAATGCAAACGGAGTGTACAAGGTCAATGGCTATACACAGGTACATCAGGTGTCAAGACCATACTTGCATCCATTAGTCAAGTGCTACTTAATAACTGGACCATTTATAGTTTGCGCCGCACGCTAATGTAATTTTTTTGGAATTTATAATTTTCTTCAATAATTAGTACAGAGTCGTCTCCGTGGTGAGACCGATGGGGGGGGGACGATTACTAATTATAGGCAGGCACCTGGCACCTACCTATACTTTAATATATATAGGTTCAAATAGTTTGTAAATGTGTTGATTGCGCAATATTATACTGACATTTAACATATTATTTTATTTGAGAAAAAGTACTGAGAAAGCAAATTAATTCATATACATAGGTGGTAGATACTTACTCTAAATATACCATGACTACACTTCTGAGTTCTTGACATTTAGCTCTTCACATTTTCTCAGTTTTCTATACTGGTTCTTACAAATATAACAATTTGATCTGGAGATTCTACCGTAACAAAATAGATTTATAAAATATCCAAATAATTTAAAAAAATAATGTGTGGTTGAGAAAGTAGAAACATATGTGATAATTTTTCATTACTTTAGTAATGATGAGATTTGATTAGTTCTAATAAGCGTCGTATTAGAAAATACATAACAATTTACAGCGAGTGAGGAAATAGAAAACCAATTAAAGGACGATTAAAATCATCGGATCTCAATAAGCAGTAAGCACATACATAGGTAGATAGGACTAACCTGCACTACTTCTGCCCATGTCTTTGCAGGGAAATAAGGAATACTGGCAACTATTTTATGTCATACCTGAGTGCTACTAATGATGATGAGTCTGTCTAAATTAGGAAAATATACTCGACAAATATGATAAATATGTAACAATAAATATTCGCTTCCATATCTTTTAAACACCAATTTACCAAGTACTTATTTAGTAATTTATTTATTTATATTGTATATTTTTAAAACATATGGTTTATAACTGCACCGATATCAGCTATAATAATATATTCTGTTATTATATATTTATATATTGTCAATTGACCCATATTAACTATATAGATTTTCGTCATGCAAAATTAATTAAATTAGTATTTGTACATTTTTAGATGTAGGTATACTTATTCAATTTATTTTTATTTATGACGTATAGGTAGGTATATTATAATTGTATACATTTTAAATATATATTTGTCATGACTCATAGAGTTTCGAATTAATTATTTAGTAGCAGTATACACAACTACACAAGTATACAGCTATGAAATATTATATGACTTTAGTGTTGATGAACATTTTATTAAGATAATGCTAGTTTAAATGTAATTTTAACTATAAAGTTGTTAATACGAGTAAAAGTTGCATATGTATACTATTTTAACTTTTATGTCAATCTTTAATATATTAACTGTTGGATTTTTAGATAGTAATAGTGGCGTATGGGCGTATAGCGTGTACAGCCTACACAGCAATATTATAAATAATTACTAATTAGGTAAAAGTAAACCTATTGATTTGGTATTTTAGTCTTTAAAAAAGTCTACGGTTTTGAATTTATCTTGGATTTAAAAATATATTTCTTACTTTTCATTGACAAAACGTTGTTCTCATATAGCCTGATATACATACCTGATACCTATCAATATAATAACTGTAAATAAATCTCAGATCTCTAATTTATAAACTTACTAGATATCGAGTAATATATTGTGTGAATTTCAATGTCTACAACTTACAATATTGTTTCGTGCGCTTATAAAAATGAGCAAGTTTATTTATTTTGACTGACAATAGGTAGGTAGGTGTCCTTTTTTCGTTTAATTTGTCGTAGGTACAGTGAAAGTCACCAAGGAGCGAAATCGTTTTTCCACGCTGCACCGAACGTTTAATTGGTTTCTGTGACTTCCTCGGTCCTCACATAGTAATAATATACATGGTTGATTTCTACCATGGGATGTCTGTTTTTTTTCACCGAGTATTCGCAAATTGTATAGATTATACTTGACATAGGTACTTAAATACATGCGCACGTCATTGAAATGTATTTTGATTTTTTGCTCTTTCTCAACCTCTTTTACGCATCATCGAAAACGTTTTTAATGAACACTGCAGACGCCATACAGTGTATATTATATGGTTGCACGTGCTGAAAAATATCATGGGATGAGATGCACTTAATGTTATAATTAATTGGTACTATATTGATTATATATTGTAATTTGTGTAGAGGAAATTAAAATGACAAAGCGTCTTAAAGTTGAATTGCGAACAATAGGATCATTTTGTCTATAACATATATAATATAATGTATATAACATAGTAGTTACCTACCTCCCTACAAATTCGTTGGTCCAAACTGATGTAAAATTATCCCACACCGGGCTAATATAATGAACCATGGTCAATGATATTATGGTTGCAAACATCCCGGTTTGAGCGATCGAATTTCTACTTTATGTATAGATACATCAACTATAGGTGTTTATAATAATTGTTGTGTTATACCACAGATAACATCGTTCATATTTTATATTTTATTCGTCAACAGATTAAATGTGTACCTACCTAATTTAATTTGTGAGTAGGTAGGTATTTTGATCTTCTGCTATAATATTTAGTGTGACGTACCTATTTATAAGCTCATATTGTGCCTAATTCAATAAATTCAACCTTTTTTTTGTATGTGTTTGAACCACTATATGGCTTATCACATTACTTGATCCCAAAAATTGGTAAATTCGACCTGGATATTTAACATACACATGATATATTATAATATACTGTATTAGTGTAGGTAATCACTCATGTACATCACACTCATGTAGTGTTTGAAGTATGAAATTTTTCACGAAAGCGTGAAACATTGAAATTTTTTTAACACAATGTCCAATGTTCTAAATTCTAATTTAAGAATTCAGTATGTTTACTATATACATGTATAATATTGTATACCTACTTGTATCATTTAAACATTAAAATATTTAAAAATTTTGAATACCTACCATTTTAAATGTTTAATATCAAAGGTTGGGTATACACTTGTATAATTTTAGGTAGGTACCAAAAAATTATGAAGGTGATTTATGACAATTATATGTAAATATACAACTTATTTAAAAATGAAACAAAATTTATTAAAATACCGAAATATTTCATATTTTTAAATTCCATGAAATTTTCAAACACTACACTCATGCAGGGATAAGGTTGGATGTCGATATATCATAATACATTTGCGTATACGTCGGTTTCTGATCGCGGTGGAAGTCGACCATATTGTTAATTGTTATAGGTTAATTCATTATACCTACCTAATTTATAATTTATTATTAATAACATAATATTAAATACGGTTTACTAAAATCTATCGTGTGTGTGATCCGCAGGTGAACGGTTTGGCATCGCTGGGAACGATGAACCTGAACAAGCGCCGGCTGATATTCTGCACGTTTATTTACTCGTGCGCCGCCATCGGTCTCATTGGCGCTGGCCTGGGCTCCAAACGATGGGTCGTGGCGTCGGCTCGGCGCACTTCCAACACTACAGAGTCTGTGGGCCAAGTCAACCTAGGGCTGTTTTACGGCGATAAGTACTTAAATATCGGCTATGGACTACGGACGTACAGCGTCGATGGTAAGCAGTATGCCCATGTGGCATATACCACCATAACAATTTTTGTCAATTATTTTACTACCAATATATTATATATTATATACTCAATTACATGTTTACTTGCAGATTATATTTTATAATTTCTGTTTTATTTTCGAAAATAATTTACCTATGTATAGTTGAACGGTCGCCTGTTGCTCGTAGTCTGTATGCATTTAAAAAAAAATTAGCAAGACTAGTTTTTTTTTATTGATTTTCCTAATTATTTTGGGGCGAATAGAACGTTTTCGCGTAGCCACTTATATTATTGTTATAAAAACATTTTTAACTATTAAAATTTTAAATAAAATGAGACCATATACATTTGATTAGATTCATTAATTTGTCATTATTTATATTCACTAAAAAGTAACGAAATTGTAAATGTTATTAAAATAATAATATGTAAACATCTAATTATTATAGATGAACTGGATTCGTTAAAATTCACAAAAAAAATACATTTTTTTTTTAAATTTTAAAATTTAAACACTATTTAAAATATAAATCTTTTTGGACCTGCAGAGATATGACATAGGTATACTCGTATAGTGGTATTATTTATCACACGCGTTCGTGTCACCGCGTACAACTTTTTGCACACATTTTTACCAGTAGAGCTGAAGATTAATGATGCAAAAACGACAAGTAGTGAGAATATTTTAAATTTTTTTAAAACATAATTAATAGGTACTTGAGTTAAATAAACGTTTTAACCATCAACATTTATTTCAAAAATAGATTTACAAATTGGATATTTTGGATTTTTCATCAAATTTTTTTATTTTAATTATAAAAAAATAAAAAATGTTATACTACATACCTACTTGTAACGCAAGTGCGCAACCAATTATAAATTATGTATAAAAAAAATTGCCAGGTCATTCTGTTACACCTTTTATATTGTAATATATTGTATTCTATGAACATTAAACAAGTTTCGAAATATATGTTGTCTATATAGTGTTTAGTCTTATACTAACTTGGATCATGTTCTTGTACTTTAGAGTAACTTGCAACCTGTATAGGTGACTAAAGGTAGATATATATCATACTTCAGCACTTGTTTTACTCATGTGTAAAAAAGCAAATTTCATTGTGAAGGCTTAAAAATAATCCAACGAAAGTAGAACAACTATAAAACCTATAGTTCTCTTACATATACAGGTATAGCCTTTCGCGTAGCCCACACAACACACGAATTCGAGATCCATAATTAGGCATGCAGGTGCTTCACGAATGAATGAAGCCTGTAAGATTTGTAGGTACGTTTCACTCTAAACGCTCACGCAGTCGTTCCACAATGAATTCCGTGCAAATGTCCTGACACCTAGTGGATACACGATTACATGGGTTGAGAGAGTTTATATGCTACTAAATCATTGTGTATAATACCAGTATACCTATGTATAATATATAGGTACATACGAGTAGGTATTATATACTTATCCATTAGACAACAAATATCTAGCTGTCTCACGAAAGTCGGCAAGTCAATTAGGAACTAGAGAATGCGTCTGAACGATTCTACGCATAAACGGTAAAAATTGTACGGTTTTTAATGTTTTAGTGTTATTTTTCATATATACATGATAATGCACGATTTTTGAATGTGCGTGATGTATAGGAATATAATATAATATATGGGTACTATACTATATTATGATATTACACGGTATAATAATTCATTTCATATAGGTAGGTATCTACTAATAAATTGTATAGTAATGAATTAATAATTATACCTACCGTTATTAAATTGCTTATAGGTATATATTTTGAATACGTTCCAAATAATGTGTTAGTGATAGTATACCTACCTTTGGTGTATTACAGGTATTTTAGATATCTATAATACACTGGAACTTACTTTTAAAGGTAACTTAAATATACAACCATACTAACCATCGGCCATCCATATCCGTGGTACCTACCTCAAACGTTTTGTATTATATTGGCTGGTATACCGAATTGATCCGTGAGGTCCTCATACCCCACTGGCGATTTGGTTCCTGTTCAAAAAAGCGCTGTTGTTGATTTGATTTCTGAGGCTTACTTTATGTATTAATCGATTCCCGGCCTATTAAGAGGTGTATGTACGAGTTGATTCCCCTATTGTTGTATCAGTAATATGAAAAATGTGTATGACAATATGTTGAACGAACACTTCAGCCTATTAGATTTAACCAAGAGACACCACAAGGAGGTTAGCTAAGAATTCTCTCAAAAATTTTATTTTATTTTTTTAATATTTTTAAAAACATAAGTTACTATACAGCTAAGAGACTTCCCAGTTTTTTTTTAGATTATCATTGATTAATCATGCATATCATAGGTGTTGAAATAATAGAAACTAACACCACCTGCAGTCGTAGGTACCTAAACAAAACCACATTTGTAATCAAATATACTAAACATTTCGTATTTATCTATCTAATTAGAAATTATTTGATTTTTAAGTGATCGAAATGATGAAAATGGATCCGGATATTATGGTGTACAGCCTATGGGCATTGACTGTTATTGGGGTATTAGCCGGACTCATAATGGCCGTGGCTGCAGCAGTATTCGCAGTCATAAATTCAGCCATTACTCCTATATCTGCTCTAGCTGGCATACCGGGTCTTTACTTTTGGAACATCAGTGCAAGTAAATGACCTTCCCTCTACTACTGTTAGTGTTTATATCTTTTCTGACAGTTTTTGCATCTTTTTTCAGTGTTTTTCCAACTGTTGGCCGGCAGTTTATGGGTGGGTCAATATTACCAGAGACTGCAGTACAATGTGATGAATAAAGACGATCGACGCAATAAATGGACGTCAGAAGGAAACGCTTCACTAGGATTCTCATTCTGGTTTGTTCCATTGTTTTTTCGTTTTTCTATTTAGATTATTAGTCTGGACAGTTAGGCGGGGTGGTAGGTAATGACATTAATAAGAAAAATATAAATTTACATAAATACAATAATAAAGACTCAATTCATTGTCGCGGTCCGCAGCAGTCGCAAATACAAATTACAACTGTACAAGCACTGCAGCCGCAGCGACAAAGTACCATCCCTTCCAATCCCCATCACTACCTACAGGAGAAAAAAAGTGCGACTAGGTCAACTCGCTTACCTTACGCTTACTAGATCACGGAACTGTACGGGAAGGACAGGACGTACCAGTGACAAAGGCCCCTCTGTTCTGTCGTTCGTACCACTGACGAATATATACCACGTCTATAATACCTATACCATATACCTACCCATATTACCTAGTCTCACTACCACACAGTGTACCTCCTTATTTTTTGTTGTTTAAATAATATTTATTTTATTTGCAACTAAATGTCATCGTTCCACGATCATTTATCATTTTTCGTTTAATCCATTTTAGGATAATAATATAATATTGCGTCTAACTCACAGCCAGCCATTTTATCCATCCCCATTGGCCATTGTGAAATAAACTGTAAATTCAGTTCTGTCTAGCAACCTGAGCCACCGTTCCGTTTCGTCTAATTTTTAAGTTAAATATAGAATAGGCACGAATTTAGTTCATGAAATCACGCATTCCGTGTTTGTGCTTAAACTCACCTCATCCACAGTACACCTACAATAACACTACATGGACGGGGCAACTAAGATTTTAAAGACACAATTCACACACATGACATTCCATGTGATGCTATATGCTTGAAGAAAGATAAAATAGGAAGAATATTTTTTTTCTGGGAGGAGAAAATATGATGAATATTGAAGAGTTAAATGGACAACAGACGTTGGAGAAATGGGGTGATCACTTAGTGTAGGTAGTTCTAGACGAGACTGAGAAGATCTCATTTTGTAGGGTAGGTACCTAGTTGTGGCCTAATTGAACTGGGTTATGATAACAAAAAACATAACCCTCCCGTTCAACAAAATATAACTATAATGTGTTATTTAGTTTTTGTTGAAAGGTCCTATAAGTAATTTTGGGAAGTGTATAATCAAAACGACAGCTTATAAAATCAGTACCTAATCGACAAGACACAAGTTTAATTAAAAATCAAGGGAACAAAAATTTTACACAACTTAATAGAGTATACATATTACATACCAGTGAACCACTAAAGGGTATTGGAAGCGGTGATTTTTAGTCTTTTTTTTAACACATAGGAATTTAGACTTGTTTTCATTACAACGTACCGATTGATCTACTGAAGCGATAAGGTTGCTTTAAACAGATTTGAATTAATCATGTCTACTTGAGATCGATTTCCCCACATTTTTGATTTTATCGCCATAAATATTTAAAAAAATCGTACTTAAAAAAGGAAACAGTAAATATTTAAATTTTTGTGGATGTTAAAATCAATAAAAAGGTGGGCAAGTGGGTGTCGCTCTGCTGTACAACAGTAGGTTACAAGTGGGTCACTGTAATGGATGGTGTTAAATTTTAATTCAATGATATAATATCGTTGTATACGAAAAACGATTCTAAGTGAAAACGGTCAATCGGCCTATGATATTACTAAGCATATTTGATATTATGATCAAAGTAATTTATCAACCTATTTACTTGGAAACTTGTTTAAATTTTCGAACCTCAGCTATATAAGTTGAATATATTATACATTTTTAACTACAAAATCAATTTTTAATTTTAAATTTCAAATTTGATAAATATTGTCAAAAATCAAACTTATAATGTTTATAAAAAAAATGTGCTTATGTATTTTTAATAATCATAACCACTATTGAAACAATTTATCTGCAGGCGCTTTGTATTAAATTTTTACGATTTTTGACCCAACAAATAAAATTTTATTGACATTTATAGAAAAAAAAATTAAAATAATTTAAAAATGAAAATGTGGGTTAACAGCTCAAAAAGAGTCAAAATATTTTGAAAATTTTATCATGTTTAGGAATTAATAAAATAAACATATGTTCTAAATTTAAAGTATCTACAGTTTTTCGTTTTTGAAATACAACGAAATCTCTACATATGAAAAATTCAGCGAATATCCAATTTTGTAAACATTTTAAGTTCAAACGATCATAATAATTTAATTTGACTTTCCAATGAACATTTTTTTTTTTTTGATAAAAATAGGCAAACTTATGAGGAATCTTGTACCTAGAACATTTTGAAATTAAATTTTTAGATTTAAAGATAAAAGTTTTTATGAGTTTATAACTCAAAATAATTTACACATTTTCGTGAATTTTAAGTATTTTGTCAAGATTTGAACTTTAAATGCTTATAAAAAAAATTCGATTATGGATTTTTAATATTTTTCAATTTTCATTGTAACAATATAGTAGGGGCTTGTATTAAAGCTTTGAGACCCAACGAATAAAATGTGATTGACATTTATAGAAAATAAAAAAATAAAAAAATTGGAAACTGAAAATGTCGGTAAACAGCTTAAGACAAGTCAATTTATTTATGGTGTATAGAAAATGCTAATATAAACATTCAGTGAAAATTGCATGTATCTACGGTTATTTGTTATAGAGTTACGCCAATAACCGTTTGTACTGAATTTTTATTTTGTTTTTCCCTGTGCTTTTGAAAACAACTGGGAATTTTTTACTTATGACCCCCTAAGTGCCTACCGGCTACCAACTAGATAAAAGTGATTTCATATCAGAAAAGATGTTGTTGAAGAAAATCAAGGCATTTTTAGTATCCTAAAAGGTAATGACAGACACAAGTAAAAATAATAAAACACACAGATTGTAAAATCAATACATTCATCGCTCCGCTCAGAATCTAAAATTAAAAATGTGAGAAAGTCGATCTCAAGTAGACTTGATGACAAATTCAAATCAGTTTTTAGAATTCATATCGCTTTCGTTAATCGGTACGTTAGAATGAAAACACGTCTAAACTTCTATGTTCCGAGTGTGTTAGACAAAGACGAAAAATCACAGCTTCCAATCCCTTTAACTTGCATTACTGGTAAAGCAACCGTGTTTTGCAGCTTATACCAACACCAACCTAGGAACATGGGGAATAGGTATGGCTGTTCAAACTGAATATTTAGAGACATAGTAGTTAATACTTGGATATTTAAATTACTGTAGTCGCTTTCATCATAAACTAAGAGTCAGCTTTTTTAAGAACGCTAAAATAATTTTTTGATTGTTTAGGTTCATCATTCTTGCATCCATTTTACACATGTTGAATATCTTCATCGTGTTCTGGGCAACCAGTAATCGCTCGAGAAAGTCACCATCGCCAATCATTGAAGAAAAAACTAACGGAGCAATCATGCTGTATTAACATTTAACGCTGTATAATTGCCATCGATGTCAATAATAATTTATAAATGTATTTAAGTGTAAATAAATTGTCTTTTTTATACTATGACATATTTTTATAAATTAATTTTATTAGAATTTAGAGGTCAATTTAAGGTATGTTTACAGTTTACACTGAGGGAATTACCATCGTTCTAGATGGATTCGACAAAACCATTGTGAATTTTGATCAATGAAATTTAATAAGAACAACTAAATAACATTTTGTCAATTTTTATCCAAGCTAAAAACCAGTTTGAAACAAATTGATTCTACCTTTTGTCCATTCTAATTAATTTTTTTTATATACATATACTAGTTTGAACATTATACAATATACAAGGTTTTTCTGAAATGGATGAGGTAACTAGTATATACCTACGCATTCAATGTGATGGCACAATAAAGATTTTTTTGAATTTATTTCTATTTTCAATAATCAAAATCTGGGTTTATACTAATTATTTTTAGAACATTATGTGTAACATCAACTGTAAAAATAAATAATCAAGTTGTATTTTTTGCAAAATTCTCATACGATTCGAGGTGTCCATCATTTTCGAGTTTGTCGTGCGTTTTTCACGCTCGAATCGCCGACTAAAAAAAAATTATGTGGCTCATCGATTAGTATGATAACAATACAAGATAAACAGTGGTGATAGTTATTTATTGTTATTGAAAATACTTGATTAATTAATGCATTATTTTACAATTGTCAACTAAGAAAAATTATAAAATAATAACAAAATTAGGGTTAACAAAGTTTTAAATGATCGAATTACTGACATCATTAATTTGCGTGATTTAGATGTACAAGTAATGAAATATGGTAACTTTTATCCGTAGATAATGTCTATTATAAAATAACTAACTGACCGTAATTTGTACATAAAGAACATTAGTTCATTTGATTATAGCTGAGTTCAATGCTTGATATAGAACAGCAGTACAGCACTATAAATTTGTTTTTAAGATTTACAAGTTTTTAATTTAAATTTTGAATTGAGTATTTGGAGTAGGTACACTAACATTAAATATGCATGCATAACATGCAGAAATCATCAACAAGAACATCTGCAGAAATAACATGTTTATGCCAAACTGCCAAAGAATTAAATAATTGAGATGAACTTTAGATCATAATTAATAATGTGGCTTAAATCATTCGTCAAACACCAAATTTGTTGGAAAAAAATTGGAGTTCATTAGGTTCATCGGAGGATGGAAAAGTGCATACTCATTACTCACATTAGTCACATTGAACAACTGTAGATAAAAATAGGTTTTCAAAATAAAGTGTATTTAATTATAATTATTTTACAATGTAACACAACTTAAATGTATGTCAGTAAATTCGATAATTTAAAACTTTGTTAACCCTAATTTTGTTATTATTTCATCATTTTTATTGGTTGACAATGTAAATTAATCATGTATGTTAAATTACAACAAATAAATATCACCACTGTTTATCTAGTAGTTTTCTCATATAAATCGATGTGCCACACCATTTTAAAAACACTGTTGAACATTTTAAAAAATGTAATGCAGATAAGTATCTTATTAAAAAATATGAAGATAAAATTAACGAAGAAACAAAAAATACAAATACAAATATGATAAAAGTTCGGGATCATGACCATTTAACTGGACAATATAGAGGAGCAGCACATTCTATATGTAATCTTAATTACAAAAATCCTAATTTTATCCCAATTGTTTGTCATAATCTTTCAGGTTATTATTTATTAAAGGGTTTGGGAATAATGAAGATGATATAAAATTAATTCCAAATAATGAGGAAAAATATATATATTTTTCAAAAATTAAATATCGTACAATTAATAAATTTCATTCTGATAAATGTATTAAATTAAAAACAGAATTAAGATTTATTAATTCTTTAAAATTTTTACCAAGTTCTTTAGAGAAGTTAACAAATAATTTGAGAAATAATTTGAAATTAAATTTAAGAAATAAATTTAAAGAACTTAGTAAATATTTTCTTAAAGAACATTTAGATTTAGGTATTAGAAAGTTAGCTTATCCCTATGAGTATATGGATTGTGAAGAAAAATTTAATGAAACATGTTTACCTCCTATTGAAAATTTTATAGTTCTCTTACTGATAAAAATATAACAATAGATGAATATAAAAACTCACAAAAAATTTGGAAAGTGTTTAATTTACAAAATCTTCGTGAATTCACTAGTTTACATAATAAGATTGATGTTTTATTGTTAACAGATATAATGGAAAATTTTAGTGACATTTCTTTAAAAAATTATAAATTAGATTCTATGTGGTATTACACAACACCTGGATTTGCGTGCGGGATAGCATGTTAAGAATGACAAATGTAAAATTAGATTTACAAACAGATGTCGATGTATGAATCTAGGATCAAAGGTGGCTTATCTTAATGTACCTAGTCAAAGATATTCAAAAGCAAATAATAAATATATGGGAGATAAATTTAAAAAAAAGGATGATTCAATATTTTTACAATACTTAGATGCAAATAATCTTTATGGTTTGGCAATGAGTAAATATTTACCTACTGGAGATTTCAAATGGGTTGATAATCTGAATGATTTTACGAAATTGAATATTTCTGATAAATCACGTAAAGGTTATATTTTAGAAGTCGATTTATCTTACCCCAAAGAACTTCATGATCTACATTCAGATTTCCCTTTAGCACCAGAAAGACATTTTGATGACAAACAACTCCCAAAATTATTAACAACTTTGTAGGATAAGAAAAAATATATAATAAATTATGAAACACTACAATTACATATTAATTTAGGTTTAAAGATAGAAAAAATTCATAGTGTTAGAATTTAGTCAACCTCCTTGGTTAAAAGTGTATATTGATTTTAATACTAATCTTAGATCAGAAGCTAAGAATGAGTTTGAAAAGAAAAATTTCATATTAATGAACAATAGTGTTTATGGACGTACAATGAATGTTCGAAATCACGTTGATATAAGATTATGTTCTAAAGCTTCAAAAGTAGAAAAATTAATTGCAAAACCAAATTTTGATAAAAGAACAATTTTTACAGAGAATTTAGCTGCAATCCATATGAAAAGATGTCAAATATCTTTCAAACAACCAATATATATAGGAATGTGTGTTTTAGACTTATCTAAATTGTTAATGTACGATTTTTATTATAATATAATAAAGAAAAAATATGGAAATAGAGTTAGATTGTTATATACAGATACAGACTCACTAATAATAGAAATAAAAACTGCAGATGATTTCTATCAGGATATAAATACAAAGATAGATAATAAAGATAGATCATTAATAGATGATTATTTTGACACTTCAGATTATTCAAAAGATAATATTTATGGTTTACCTTTAGTTAACAAGAAAGTCTTAGGCAAGTTTAAAGATGAGTTAAATGGAAAAATTAAGACTGAATTTATAGGTTTAAGATCCAAATTATATTCACATCGAATCTTAGATACTTAAAAAGAAATTAAAAAAGCTAAAGGTGTTAAAAAAAATGTTGTGGAAAATAAAATATGTTTTAATGATTTTGAAAATTGTTTACTAACAAAA